GCAAACAACATTAAGCATGCAAACGTAACAAATTATATTTGTGAAGTAAGTTGCCGCGGCCGGGTGGCGGGCGGGCGGGTTCGAACGACCGACGGACGGAAGGTACAAATGGACCAATTTGTCGGCGCGAGGCGACAATCCGCCGTAATCCGCGGGCCGCGCGCTAATCGAAATATCGACAACGGTTATTGACGACCGCCCTACGGCCCGCGCCGCGCCCGGTCACCTGGAGGACCACGCTGAAAATGTCAACGTACAACCTTTACTAGAGTGTTACTTTGTTTATAATTTATATGTTTACTTTCCAACACTTACAACATTTAGCCTAGCCCCAAAGTAAGCACTGTAAGGCTTTTGTTATGGGGATATTAGGGTAACGGATAGAATACATATACTGATACATATATAAGTATATTTATATAGAAATACATATTGAAAATCCATGACTGGAGTACAAATGCTCGTATTCATCACACAAAAACCCGGCGTACAAACCACTAGGCCACGGAGGTCGTCAAACTTTGGGTAACAATATAGTGATTCAATTAAATGAAAATAAATGCTTAACAAACTTTGGTATCATTTATTCAATGATGGTAATTTACAATTATAATCTGCGGTGAGAGATCGAAAAGAAATTCCGCACAGGATTTTATTTTGTGCTCAGTCAAAGATAAGGTTCTACCCTGGTGAGATATCTTTCTACATCAATAGATGCAGGAACCCGAACTGTTATCATGATGGCACTACAATTTCCTTAACCATGAACTTACTAAATACCTACTATATTTACCAAAAAGATACTAACCTAGTAATAAATTCTGAATGAACCAACTCATCCTACTAATAAATAAGAAAGTTAGTATGTTTGTTACGCAAAAAATACTAAACGGATTCGGATGAAATTTGTTAGTCACATAGTTAAACACCTGGATTGAGACAAGGGATACTTTATATCATCCCGGAACAATGTTATATTTCTGCAGGATTCTACAAACTGAGTTAACGCGGACTACGTCGCGCGCGGTCGCTAGTAAGTTTAATAAGAATTTGTTGTTCTAAATCAATCTCTGTTTAAAATATAAACATGAACCCAATTATTTGTATCCGTTAGATTTGCAAGTCGTTACCTACAACGTACCTATTATTTAATCTGGCGCAGCTCCGTCTAATCCATGCTGACTGGTCGACGGCGCGGCGCCATCTGGCCCCCTCCAGCCGCCATGTTCCGTTCCTCCCTGCGACCCACCCACCGCCCCCCACCGCGATTACACCTACCCGGCCCTACCTTCGACGCCCCATAACTTATCTTACTACCCACACAATAAAGCTTAATACCGCGCGCATCCGACACGGGTGGGCTGTAACCGCATCCCTTCGGAGCGGTCGTGTCGTCGCCTACGTTGCCTACGTGCTACGTGACGCGCCGTAGAGCTACTAACGATTGCAACGGTTTCGTATCGGCATCTCAGCTAACTCTGATTGATCAAATGTCTTTATAATTAATTGATGTTCTTTGTTTTATTAACCTTGATTTGTGTTACTACCGCACTGTAATAATTGTTGAATGTCGAAACTAATTTTATGCCTTTATTGTTATTACACCAATTGATTGGCTATTAAAGTTGACAGTGGTTCAGACAGAAATTAATCTGCTAACAGACAACAGGAACATCATTATTCTTAAGCAATAAAGTTTGTTTTCATGAGTTTCAATGAATTTCTAACAAATAGCAGAGCTAAGCTAAGGAAATAACTTATAATTCTGACTTCTCTATACTAGGTACATATCTTGAAATTATATCGATAAATGCGCGGAATTTTATTTAGGGTACAATTTCTTAACCTGATCTTTGTATTCGATTTAAGGGAAATCGTTTTAATATAATAACAATAAAAAAATCAAAAAATCCAGAAAAAATATACCTTTTAAGTATAAGTAACTGTAATTTTATAAGTAACTGAACTATCATTATAGACCGTGTGATTTATCGACAGATGTACCTACAGTACACCTATATCTATTTAATATTCTCATGTCATCAGTGATCGATCCCTGTAATTAACGGGTTAGAGACCGCGGCGTGATTGTGGGTGGGTGCCAGTGGTAGGTAAGTAATTCATTAGGGTCAAGGTGTGGATGTGGGTGCCTAATAGTGTTGCCAGGTTCAATTTGTTTTAAATCGGTACATGAGGTCAAAACAATCGGGATTTAGGATTGCAGATCGGGACAGTAAACAAAAAACAAGGGCTTTTTAAGGCTTTTTATTGCGTTTTAAACTACTAGTACAAGTATAGTATTATATTAATTACCTAAATTTTAATTTTTTGATTAATCGGGACATTTAGGTACAAATCGGGGCGCGTCCCCAGTCCCTGAAAATCGGAACGTCCCGCGCAAATCGGGACACCTGGCAACACTAGTGCCTAATGTCGTGAGTCACTCCCTTAAAGGTGTTCGAATCTACTAATTTTGAAATATCTTCCTCGTGTTGCGTGAGAAGCTAATCTGAGATTTTTTAAGCTGATCATAGTACAGTTTTATGTAGGTATATGAATTTTATTAGGAATTAAAACCTAGTGGTACTGAGCTGAGCGGATTTTGGGTGAGCGGATCTACTGGCACACCTATATTTTATAACCTGGATGGGTGGAGATGGATTTCTATTTATGGCGGAATATTTTTCGCTCTTAATTACCGGAATACGCGCAAGTACCAAGTTTAAGGCAGAACCTAGTTCTCCATAAATATCCAATAATCACAATTCAAATAAAAATTTAAAAAATGCAAAACACTGCCTATGTTGTTTGTGATATCTATATCCTGCCAGTACTGTAATAGGTGCTAATTTTGTAGGTACCTACCTAATTAAGTTTTCTGCACTTTACGAGCAAGTAATCATGGACAATCGTGGTATAATAAAAAAAAATATTAACATGCAAAACTACCATTCAACATTGTTGTACTTGCGTACGTAATATAACACTAATATTCATTGGAGCACAAAAGTGAATCAGCACATTTCCGTGGTTCGTTAAAAATAACTATGGCGGCATAATTAATTTACAGACTTTAATTATCTCATCAGGGCATAAAGTCATGACCAATTTGGCTGCGGCCGCTCTTATCAGCTCGTCACATCGGCCGACAGCTCACAATTAATTACCACAATGAAATGCAACGTGGAATCATTGGTAATTAGCGCGCCGAAGAAAACTGACAGAGTTTAGTTATTTATGATATTAGTGCGGTAAGTTGGTTATTACAAACGAGTAGACGAATGTAAGCCCCAGACGAAGCCAATAGCTTACCATAGTCACGAGTTTGTAATACCAATCCGCACGAATGTCATACAGCGTTTTTCAACACATTTGTGAGAAAACATTATACATAATTTAAGTAATGAAGCATTTTTTTTAATAAGAAAATGGCGCGCCTCTCCAAATGGCGCCACTACATCTTTCGTCTCTTTTTTCTTTTTAGTATTAAAGTGAGGTATAGGTATAGACTAAAAGCGCTGCCGAGGAGGATCGATAAAAATATAAAAACGCCGTAAAGAATACGCACTGTGCCATGTATGGGAACGTGCGTAATGATTTTTTTGCTTATTTTGTGCGTTCCCAAAAAAAGATATTAACAGACGAACGGACGAGCTTATTTCTCATAACTAATTTAAAATAAATTATTAAAACAATGAACTACCTATAGTTCATTTTTTAATAAAAAAAAAATATTTTTTCATAAACTCTGCAATTTTAAATGCCATATTAATTTAAATCTGAAAAAAATCTCCTTTACCTAAGGCGCCTCCATCAGCCGGGAGTAGATGTGGAATAAAATACATCACATATATCACATACATCGTTAGACCTTTTCACATCAACCAATCGATAAATCAAGCCAATAATAATGGTTTGATTTATTAAAAAACTTGACTTTACCCGAGACTTAGAAACTAGTAGGAATAAGTACAAATTATAGAAAATCTACAAACAAGATCACAGACCTTGAACGTCTAACGTAATAGGTACCGAAGGGGACGTTTAAAGACCACATCTTTAAATTACTGCCTTTGCATACGACCAGAAGAGGTCATAACTAGATAATGACCAATGAAGAACTGGTTCTTACATCAAATCCAACCTAATTACTACCTAATCCATGCAAATATTTTAAAATATAAGTTTACGAGTTTGGTTTTAATAACTTTACAGAAACCTGCTTTTTCCGTACTTTGTTACCGTAATTGGGTAACAAACAACGAAGTAGTTTGTCAAAATATAATAAATAAAATCCTTTAAATACTTCAAAAGAAAAGATGTTCATTTATCTTTTTTAATTTGTTTTAGAACTTGCACAAAGTAGCATATTTTGTATCATTAAGCAGTTGTTACATTACTAACATATAGAGCCATTAAACATCAATTTGGCTTCGCAAATGTGACAACGAGGCTATTACAATTAGCAGTAGGCACATATCCGGCTTTTATCTACCCAACGACTATATTTTGCTTCAGCAAAGATACCACCATTAATTGGATCCCATTAGCTTGTATCAGGATAATGGAAATTATATCTCATGCAGGAGACACGAATTAACATAAATGCCTACGCATACTAAACAGTCATATTTTTTTTATCATTTGTCAGAGCATTTCGTTTTTGCCAGTTTCTAATTATGCTCTTAGAAAGATGACCCTAATTATTAGATTTTGTAGTATAGACTTAGGGCTCTATTTCTATCATATATACCTAAGGCTATATACCTACATTAAGATACCTGAAGTAGGTATTAAAGGTTAAAGGTTTAAGTTTAAGATACCATCTCTTAACATATTTAAGACATTAATAAACTTTTGTAAACGCTATATTAGCAACACTGCACAGTAAATTGACAATATTAAATTTGATATGGCGTCTTATTTTTGTAACAAAGTGTCTTAACCCAACCCTAAACATTTTCAAATGACTATATGTGTTCACAATTATTTTCCCACAGATCGTTCTCAACTCGATGCACCGATACCAGCCGCGAATCCACCTGGTGAAGGTGCGTGATGGCGGTGGGCCCATCACGGACCTGGCACGGGAGCAACACCGGACCTTCGTCTTCCCCGAGACCGTGTTCACTGCAGTCACCGCTTACCAGAACCAGCTGATCACCAAGCTCAAGATAGACTCGAACCCATTCGCGAAGGGATTCAGAGATTCGTCCAGATTAACGGACTTTGATAGGTGAGTTATACGTTCTGTTTTTTCTTCATCCCATGATGGACCTGGCCCGGGAGTAGGACCTTCGTCTTCCCCGAAACGGTGTTTATCGCAGTCACCGCCTACAAGAACCAGCTGATCACCAAGCTCAAGATAGACTGCAACCCGTTCGCGAAGGGATTCAGAGATTCGTCTAGCTTGACGGACTTTGATAGGTAATTTATCTGTTTGGTTCTTTCTACATGCCATCACACATTCCCATCACCTGACAGGAGCTGCACCACATTATCGTCGTCTTCTATATTGACAGACTCTGATAGGTGAGTTTTCTATTCTGTTTTCTCATATTTATTCGTGATAAGAGTTTATATAGGTAGTATTTTAATCTAAAGTTTTTTTTTTTAGAAAAAAAACCACGTAGACCAGGCAAAAGTGGTTAGATTTAAGCCAGTGGTTAGATTTAAATATTTAGCAGTTAAATGCACAAAAAATATCACTAGAGTTGATTACGATCAAGAAGTCTACACTGAAATGTAAATTTTCGTCAGTCGAGAAAAAGGGTGACCAGAAATTAGATATTGAACTGCACGACACGGCACTGAGCACGTGATGAATGATTACCTCTTAAAGTCTTTTTCCTTTTTGAAGTTATACTTCTTTAGGCGCATTATGAAAAAATCATGTGAGTGAAATTTCGAGATGCGCGCGCATCACTGTAACACAATAGTAACACCATGAAGTTGGCCGCGGGCGCGTTATGAATGTTAGTGTCTAATAATAGTGGATTATTAACCACTTAGTGTTAATAATAAGTTAATAATCCATCATTATTAGACATCTGTTCGAAAGGTACTTTGAACGATCCACGGAGCTCCATAAGATGATCGCGTTGTCAAAAACAATGTTGGCACTTTCGTCGCCTCTGATCACTGTTTTCATATTTATAATATTTATCCACATGTTTCTAGTTTCTATATAGACACAACGTGTTTTAGTTACTTACAAGTGCTAATAACATATGGACTAATAACTTAAATTCAGTAGTGATTTTAATTGAATATTTTGAATATTTATTTAATTTTTCAAATTAAAACTGAACTTAATTGACTGTGTTAACTATCCTTTTCCAGTGTTTTTATTATTTTATTGTAATTATTAATTATTTGCATGCAATTAAAAAATATTTTTAATGATGCTAAAGAGTATAACTTCTCACGCGCGTACATAAGTTACACGCATCGATTTTTTTTTCTTAATTGTACAAAGTAAACAAGTACATAAACTAAAAGAAACATGAACTTTTGAAAAACTACACTTGACTGCAAATAAACTGGCCAACCGCTACCTTAGAACTCTAATTTGATTTTTTTCAAAAAGTATAAGACTTACAACTATTATAGCTATCATCAGATCAGTATCACATCTACAGAAAGTGTTTCATAATTATTAATATGAGTAAAAGGAGATTGCTCAAATTGGCCAAAATGCACAAAAATATTGACATACACAGTAATTCTTGGCGTAATTTATAATTTAATTTACAGTCATTAGATTACAACGGACACCTTTGTATAATATATTTACTTTAAAAGGACTTTTATATTACCGGTTTGGAAAACATACGAATCATTTTTAATGGCTATGGGTGTAGTAACATTCAGCCAAAGACTGATCGAAGTTGTTTATTTATCATAAAAACAAATCTATTTTGTAAAGATCGATAAAATAAATCATTTTTTTATTACACTGTGGTATTAATATCCACCACTATATTATCATTTTCACTAGATGCAAATATGCTCAGACAATTATTATAGATGGTAGGCGACATCATAAAGTCTATTGCCATACATTTTTCGCCAAACACCTCCATAAACATATTATAATCTGTATATATGTTAGACTTTAAGGTATCTATCTATGGGCCTACGTTCCCTGACTATAAATTAATAAATAAATAAAATTATAAGGTGTTATACACTAAAATACGGTTATCTTAAAAACATAACAAAAATAATGAAGCTACTGAATATACGGCTATAGAACCTAAATCTCTTAGCTTTCTTTGGTTAACTAGAGTTTAAAAATACTCTTTAATCTGTGGTTCATTCACAATCATCACACAGTTTCTGTCACAGAGTATCTTATTATAACCGGAAATGACACCTGATTTTAAAAGTTACTCTTATGCATAAACTTTAAAAACAAACAACTAATTGTTAATCTACATGCTCTATATACCTGAATCTAATCCATAATTTCGGTACTTGGCTTTATTTCCCTAGTTTACTATATAACTTATTTGTTTTTTAGTATTTTAATATGTTCAGTGTATATGGTTTATAGAAGTTCTCAGGGGTGTCCGTCAATAATATTCGTTTCTACAGTAATTTATATATAATTTCGAATCTAGGAAACAATTTTTCATGATTATTGGTCTTTAGGCCAAACATGTATTGAAGCTGAGCAATCTCCTTTATTCTAAAGTACTGTCAACTTACTTTGTAATCGAGCAAGAACAGAAGTTTGAGTTTTAATGAAGTCGCGATTATCGTGCTTTTTTATAAAATGAAGATAGTCTGACACTTCTTTCCTTAGTTTTCTCCATAGTTTTCTCAGACGTCAGTATTTTTGCTTCGTTCATTACTTCCAAATACCACAATTGAAAAAAGTTCTTCCTTGGCTTTTTTTTAATAAAAAAAATAATTATTTGATTTATCTCAATAAATTCTAGATCATTTTAATCACCACGAAACGCACTTTCTGTAGTTATAATTTTGATAGTTGTAAGCTTTATACTTTTTGAGAAAATCAAATCATAGTTCCGTGGTAGCAAGTGGCCCAGTTTATTTGCAGTCGAGTGTAGTGTCCATGTTCCTTCCGTGGTCCATCCAAGAGTCGTACTCTTGTTAATTTGCATACAGTACAAAAGGCGCCTCGATTTTGTATTGGTAGAGAACGCAGAAACCCATCAAATAATTTGTAATGTCCTATTCTTAAAAGCTTTTGATGATCCAAAGAGCTTTTTATGCCAAAGGCAGGTTTGATAAATTGGCAGGTTATTAGCAACAGTTGAAAGGCATTAGGTCGGCCACACTGTAATTTGCGCCCGGAGATTTTAACACGAATAAAACATTAACAACACGCTCGTCCGATTGCGGCGATATGATCCTGAATGGTTATCGTAGTGCTTAATTATATGTTATTGTTATCTATTCCTTTCAATGATTTGGAAGAGAAAGAAAACCATTCGCATTTGCTATTGAGCCAGCGAAAAGTTATTGGATACTTAAGTGATTGGGATGTTTTGGAGAATATTTAAGGCTATAGAATTGTCTGGGAATCTCTCCATATAATAAGGGAAGTTAAATTTATTACTAGCGCTTTTTCTTGACCACGAAATTCGAGAACGAAGTTATCAATTTAATTCCATGTATATATTTTTAAGGTTCCGTAGCTAAATGGCCATTTTTTTAATACGTCATAAATCGTAAACCACACAATTTACCTTTCATTCAATCAACAATCAACTTTCTTTCTTTCCTTACTTATCAATATCTTCATTAAAAAATACAGTATTATTAAAACGTCGATCAAAGTGACAACGAACTACAAGAACTTTTATATTTAATTACTTGCTGCTACGGAACCCTTCATGGGCGAGTCCGACTCACACTTGGCCGCTTTTTTAAGTTTTGAATGATTTTGATAATACTTTGTAGAAGGTCCTTACAAAAAAATCGCGGGCAGTAGCTAGTTGTTCATAAAATTCCTTTAACAAATAATCATTAAAGACAGACTTCCATTTCAATATACCGTAAGCAATTAACGATGGGATGGAATTTTATAGTTTCATATAAAGTTCAGTGTTATATTGTACGTTAATATGTATACTTATAAACGACTGCAACAAAGTAATGAAAAGCACGCTGACCCTTCCGCTGTTGTTGTAACTTATAATTTATATGTAATAACACGTGCATTTGTATTTTCAAATAATTATGATCAATTGACCATGGAGTTTTTACAACGTACGTGTTATCATGCGTTTCCATTGTACAACAAATAGACAAACGGTGTAAAGATTTCTTTGTATTAACAAAAACAGTTTGCCTAGAAAACTGTATCCTAATCGCAAGGTATCTAACCTTACATTAACGAAAAATTTTAATCTTGTTTGTTACTCAAAAATATTTAAAATAAGTGAATGCATTAAAAACAACTCTCTTCGCTTTTTATAAGATGTCAATTTTAAACAGCAAAATTAAATGCTGCTGGGTACACAGTTGAACCGAAAAATAAGTTTTGCGAAATTTTATCTTGCCTTGGTCATTAATTTGAAAGTATTGGAATGATGGCGCGGTGTGGAAGGCGAGAATTAGCCGACAGGCATGTGAGGCGCGGGCGTTCCCATGAGCGACCATTACCGTTGGTTTCTACGAAAACGGTGAGATTTTTGTGAGAATTCTGCGTTTAGGGGGTTTACGAAAAAAAAAATGCTTTTCAAATTCAATATTGATAAAATCAGAAAGTGTTTTAAATAGGTGTTTCATTAGAAACGATGGTTTTAAGTTACGGTTATAAGTAGTTCTATCTATATATATATATATTTGAATCGTCTATTATATTCCCTTCATTTCAAAACATCTTTTAGAGCTAACAAGAAAATAAAAAAAAATAATTATCAACATTATAGTAAAACTAGCTACATTTACAAAATACAAATGAAAAGCAATATTTATAATGCAAGTAACTACATTAGCCATTAATGTCAAATTAAATGCCCTCGATCTATTATAAACAGAAATCGACAGAAAGATGTCCAATTCAATGTTTTTTACAATGACTTTATCACGTTCGAGGTTGCTTAGTAGACGCTCCAGCACCGAGGCGTTGCCTTCTCGACGGCGGCCGGCGGCGGCGGCGGCGGCGGCGCGGGTAATCACAGGGCCCGCCCTCATTATGCCCTAAACGACAAATTAAAGTGCATTTCTATTATCTGGCCATCGCGGACCGGTTCGCCCGCGAGCCGAGACGTTTCGCTCAGACTCAGGTGCAACCTTTACCCGTGTCGATGATCGATCGCTTGTCCGATGAAGGTCATATAATAATGCTCTAATATAAACCGTGTAGCTGAGACAGGACATTGTGCAATTTTATGCCTGCACTTGTTAATGTCGCTTCTTTCTTTTTATTTAAAATTTTGCCGATGGAATTCAAAATGTCTGTTTGTTTAAGTTTTATATTGGGTGATAATTTTAGGTAACAAGGTAATCTAGCTCTTTTTTGAAGTGATACCTGCAAATTCTGAAAAACAACAATAACCCGAATTAACAATTCTACGAGTGTGTGAAAATTTGTATTTTTTTATAGATCATCTATGACCCTATAATCTACACCATGTAACTACTGCAAATTAATATGTCTCAATAAATCTACTCTGGTATCAAGCGATCGCTATAATTTTATAATATTAAGCTTGATCAGTGTCCATTATAAATAAATATCGAAATTGATGGCCGCTCACCGCTGGTCTGAAATTATACAATTGAAGAGCACTCAATGGCCTAATAGTGATCTGGCATGATCTTCTAACTAATCTGAGCATGATCGGCAGAATTTATCGGAATATTAATAATCTAATCTAAGTGCAAGGCTACCGATTTGGATTAATTGATGGAACATAGGCGGCGCGGCGCGATGATAGTTCACGAGTTAGTGATTGACGGCTAATTCGAGATGTTATCGATGCAATTACTGCGCATCCGCTGACACCCCACCGCCACCTACCGTCTCCTACTTTGGAGCCATGAGAAAATGTCGAGTTGTGCAAGCAGCTACTGGGATTGGTAACAGTTAATTATTTGAGCGGAGGAAATTATTAGGTGAGCGTAAACTTGATGTACTTATATGTGGGTACGTACTTAATCGAATCAAATCTAATTTGTGAGAAGGCTACTTATGTATCTACTTACAAATTGTTGTGTTGAATAGCTATTGATTAACCTTTAGTTGGAAACGTAATTAAAAAGGCACTAATGGAGATGTTGAAACCGAATATTTGATTAAACAATTTGCAAAGTACCCTAAATTATAAATAAGTAGCATACAATGACAACTTAGTCTCAACACAATATTTTTAGCACTACAGTTATAATCTGTAATATTATTCATTGAAGGTATTAAGTATAATTCAAACTACAATAAGTGTTAATAATGTTACAATCATAGTCTTTATAATGCAGCTTCGCCTAGTCGTGAACTTGCCGTGTAACGGAATGAAAGGCAGAATAATTAGTGGCTTCCCATATTATATCGCCGGTTATATTGATAGGTGTCAATCACCGGCCGCTACCGTGCGCTGGCACACTAATTCACGCCAATGCGTAGGAGTATTGATAACATCTCAATGCAAATTTCCACTCTGCCATCTGTCATTTCGTTTGACGATCGTAGGTTGATCACGGGTGCTGATTAAGTGCCTACTTTCGCTTGCCCATTGTTAGCCGTCTCCATATTTGGACATAAGCTTTCTATTCTGATTGTCCACCACACGATTAATACGAATACTTAAAACGTGTTCTAATGGCGCAAAGCCTTAATGACTTCCTTCGCTGACGTCCGAAATCGTCAGACAATAAGTATGATGTATTGCCATTGTGTGAGAGCGGCCCTGGGATTATTTGGCGTGGTTGCCGAGGCGGCTTTTCATCCATTAATTAATAAGATACGCCCCTCGCTCAATCAGATCGGATATTTAGCGGGCGAGGAGTTATATTTATGTTCGGACGCACCTCTTCGTTAATTGCGTGCGATTCACTTACGAGCTAGGAATAACTTTAACGACAAGTACGTGTACGCCTCGGGCGGACCGCCCTATACAGTTACGTCCCATAAGTGTTTTAAGACGTCATTGCTGCAATGTCCGTTACTAAAACGATGTCAGTGGAACTTTCTAATTTTGTAGCGAACTAGCTTACAAAAAAGAATTTAATAAATGGAATATAGAAAAACAGTTTTGGGATTGTTTAGTTTATTGAAAACTTACCATGCGCACACATGTGCCTGGGTATGTATTTTATTTTATATCATAAAAATAAGTGTTTTATTGTATACATACATTTTTTGGTATTAAAATGGTAGAGTATAATTAAATAACGAAAGGTAATAAAATCTTTATAATGAAATATTTATACGTCGGTACTTAAAATAGTAAAATTCATATTCCACTTGTAGAGAAACATTATTTCGAAAGGAAGCAATATTTTACTCATAATCAGATGGCAATATTATGTGTCCGTGCACAATGTCGATAAGCGCGAGCCGCGGCGTCGAGATATCGATAAGTTGCGCGGCCCTAGCGGCGGCCTCTTACATGCCGCCCTGTAATTTGCCGGCGAGTGTTGGCTATTACCGGGATCATAATAAATACGCCATTAACGCCCCCACAGCCCCCGAAACGACATAACCACCCAGCCAACGGATTCAGAAACGACATAGCCGCCCGATCCAATAAGCTTCAATCCGAATAAGCTGGTTGGCGCTTACGGTCTTCTGTACTTCCTCACAAAGGGTGTAAATTTAAAAACATTATTCTCACGGATTTTGGTTGAAAACTACTTATGAGTAATCACTGACTACGCCGAGATTAAGAAATGTTATTTCAGCTCGCGATTTCAATACACGTACCGACTTATTATAAAGTGACACACTGCGGTAGTCGCGAAACAGTTAATTTCTTTTTATACAAAGAATTACTGACTCGTCTGCGGTTAAGTTTATTACTTATAACATATGTTGCCGGTGAAATTATGAAATTGAGCACGGATAGGTGAGATAATATACGGTTTCGTTAACACTAATATCCCATTATTTCTTTTTTTCCCAACTAAACAGTTGGAAAAAAAACTTTCACAAAAAACATGGGTAGCGTGTGTGGTATGGAATGAACTATGTTTCGGGCACTACCTGTTTTGATACGGAACGCGCCGGCGCCCTCGGCTGCGGTGATAGATTAAATTCGACACGGCATCTCGTGATGTCACGCCAATTCGAGCCCGAACCGAGCAAGCTCTCGTCACGGTCGTTTAGCACTCGAGACTCGTATCTCAACTCTGTGCCTTGAGATGCATTTCCATTTCGCACATCAACTTCGGATAGTAAATCATACAGCCATATTGTAACGGTGTACTAGGGTCATGGAAATCCTGAACATGAAAAATTACAAGTTTTTCTTCTTTCTTATAATAATGTACTTAACTTTTAACTATTACAATTAAGACTAAAAATTTTTGACTGTAAAGATTTCGTGTTTAGAAAGCATATTTATAGGCAAATAAATATTGGATTTATGATTATAACAAAGCACTCATTCCTAGTTAGCCCTATACTTTCCAGAAGAAGCAAAAATAGCGAATTCGCGGGAAGAGCGCGGTGGCGGTCGCGCCGACCTCCTGGAACCGATAAAGGGCATCGCACCGCGCAATAAAGGGCCGAGACGCCTCGTTAACTGCTCTGCACTCGTAAACCGCTTCGCCGAAACAATCGCTAGAGATATTATGCGAATATCACATCTCCTCGTGCCCTAATATCCAAATTCTTGTCTAACCTATCATTTCTACCAACAATGTAATATCGCAAAGATTTCACGTAGCCGACAACACGCGGGCGTCGCATACAAATTCACAGTAGCCGCTTAACGTGCGCATTAATAGTTTAATGGTAGAAAACGCACGTGGTAGTTCCTCTTCCCAGAAACAGATTTTATAGACTACGGACCACTGAAAACCAACGAACAGCCAACACACTAAGTGCACGCCTTCGCAGAATCAATGAGGAACGCTCAGAATACCGAAATAGGAGTTTTGGTTAGCGCAGTTATTTCCTGCTACAGATCGTTTCTTAGCTCTCTGACACATTGTCAAAGCTATCTGTGTCAAGATATGTTTAGATTGTTTACTAAGTAAGATTAAGAAGTATTGGTGTGTTCTATTCCAGAGATCCTATGGAGTTGATGTTGATGGAGCAACAGTTGCTGCGGTCGCCGTTGCGGCTTTACGCGAGCGGCGCCGGTGTAGGCGACGAGGAGGCAGAGAAGCGAGCGGCCTGGGCGCGCACCCCGCCCGCGTTGCAGCTGCTGGCACTGGGCGGCCGAGCCTGGCCCGCCGCCTGGCCGCAACCCTTAGCCTTGCCGCCTGACCTCTGGATGCAGAAACCCCCTACGCCACTCCGATACTGCCCCTACCCCCCACCAGCGCACCCCTCCGCACCATCTTCAAGACCGGAACACTCGCCCTCACCCAGACATCCGCTGTGAACCATTCCATAAAAATAAACAATTGAGTGCTGTGAAAAAAAACAAGAAACAAAAGAACTTCAAGAAGTGAATTTTTAACTCGAAACTCGATAGAAACTTTTCGAAATGTATTAAAATGTAAGATTGAATAGATGTATTCCTAATATATAATTTTCATGGTTCCTATCCCGAAAAATAGAAAAACGATATTTTGAAATGTGTATTTTTTAAACTAGGTTTATTATGAAAACTTTATAGTAGTTACCTGCACACCTTATTATCGTACCTTTATAGTTTTGTTGTAATACAAAGAAATAAAAAGGATTAGCAAATTAACAGTTCAATGAAAATATCAAATGATTAAAAAAACTAACCAAAGATGTATGTACTAAAAACCAATGCTGTAGCATTGCCTTCTTTATCTTTTGCAACATTCCATGAAAGGTACTACCTAACATAGATATTATTATGTTGATTCCGTTACAGCAAAGAACAGGCTAATTAAATTATATTATCATAATATGTGATAGTTTTCTAAAATTTTTTTATTAAAATGTTTACTTCATTAGTATCGAATTTATCTATGAACAGACGACAAATAAACAAGTCTTTCGCAGATTTCAAAATATTATATGTTATCAGTTTATTGTAATTGACTGTATGAAAAATCTACAAAATTCTGTCTCTGTAATTAAAAAATCTTTGTTAATCTTTACTAAAATAACAGTAATAAAGTAATCTAAATTAATAAAGTAATTGTTGACATGGACTTCTCCCAACAATGTGTACTATCTTCCCTAAATCAAAATCGGTGATATATCAATAAAATGCAATGTAATAAATAAATTACCTAATTGTGTGTATATTAATGGTAAGGATATTTATATTCCAATTGTTTAAGGTACCTAATGATTTGTATGTATTGTATAGCGGTTGACTAAATTATTTTTGTAGGTTAAGCACTGTATATATTTTCACCTAGATGTTTGTATTAATAGGATTCGATATAATAGTACTGTAATAATATTAGTAAAAACTCAAACTGCGACTTCGCTCACAACATAACATGCTTTTTTTGTTCCTAATAAAGTAATAACTAACCTAATTAAATGTCTAAAGAAAATTTCAGCAATCAACAAATCAACTTTCTTATTATATAATTAGGGTTGGTTTAAAAGAAAAAAAAATAAACTCTTATAAGATCACTTTGTTGTGCGTCTGTCTATCTGTTATTCAGGACCAATGATAACAGTAAATAAATAGAAACAAACTTATCGATACTGTAGGCATTATAAATATTTATTCTGATATAAATGAAGTCAATTGTGTATTATTTTAAAGTACTTAACTGAATTATTTTACTTCAAACAATGAAAGTAATCATTTATGTTAAATTAGATTCCTACACTTCACCTTAACGCATAAGAGATGAACGATGGTCTTATTTTCCTAGTTTTTAATGTTACTAAATTATACTTATAATGTACAAGAATGGTATTTGCTTATTGTTATGGTCAATTCATACTAGCACAGTATCAAAGCGAATTTCAGAAACGTAAAAAGGCAAATTCACCATTATATCCGCAACGTAATGTGCATATTCCTTCTGAGATAAAAATAAGACACACGAATTCCGCTCAGTGTTGCTAGGTCCGATTTTCAAAAATCGGGAGGCGTTATAGAAAAAAGCAATAGATGTATTGAAAGAGCTAGAAGAAATAGCAGTAGATGCAGAGGCGTACATTTTTCCGAGTAGTTAGTTCAGAAGAATAGGTTGTGTAGAGAAGGGTGAATTTGCTTTGTTACTGTTTCTCAAATTCGCTTCGAAGCGTTTCGACTCTGCGCTAATATGAATTCACCATAAGTGAATATTTTTTTTACATATTTAGTAGTTTTGATAAGATTTTCACAGAGCTACTGAAAATATCGTAAACGGAGACTTTTAATTAAAACGATGATAACGTAAATACATATTCTGTCATTATAGTTTTCACCAGTAATTTTGTCGGTACAACACCATCATTGATATAGACCATACTGGAATTTACCTGAGTCTTTGTTACAAGTTTAAAATTTTGATTAAACATATACAATTAGAATTTACTTTTGCCATCGATTATTCAATTCAAAAAAAGTGCGCTGTTATGTTTGTGAGCGGTGCGCAAAAGTAGCGACACATATCAGGGTTCAGCCCTAAGTGTTAATAAATGGAAACCAAACTAATTGTTGTTTTATTTACAAATGAACGATAAAAGCTCACATTAAAGCTTTTGCTTCGCTTTTACCTAAGACTTTTCTAAAAGTATACATCTTCTTGTTTGCCACTGCCACCTTTTAAACATAAGAAAGTTATATTACATCACATTTGTAGGTATTGTTAAAATTCCAAAAGAAAAGATTACTTGATGCAGTGCTAGTTCTTTGATCGTTGTCTTTCGTTGTTCCTTGGAAGACATTGACTTTGATGCAAATTGTAATAGGGATGATGACGGGGTTAGGGTTACCATCCATCCGGATTAGTCCGGACATGTCCAGAATTTTAGAATATAGTCCGGACTTTGCCCGGGTCTTTAAAATGTCCGGATTTTTTAAATTACATTGAATATTATTAATAAAAGCACATATTGATTTAAATACCATACCATTGTAACTATGTGAGTACCAAACTTTGACTAAAAAATCCGCACTTTTTTCGAAATGCCATGATTTTTGACAGTCCTTTTGAAATTTCCTAAATGGTAACCCTAGACGGGCTAAAGTAATCGAAATTCTATTAAGTCCGTCAGTTACATTATCAAAAAATAATGAACACTGATTTTTACTTTGTTAATCAACCAAAAAATTACGAAGATAAAGCGTAACGTTTCAAATCAATATATCTCTGTAATGTTTAGATGGATGTTTGTTTGAAGTATAATGGAAAAATAAAAATTCCTTTTTGATAATTAAACTTCCTGATAAGACTAAGAAAAAAGTGAGTCATCATTTCTATTCGGTTTGTTATGTAAAATACATAAGAAAACCTAAATGTGGATATCAAAATTCTTCATAGGGAATTGGTTTTGGCCCCTTGCTATCTTGCACATAGAGCAATTCTCTGCTCACTCTACATTAGGACATAGTGGATTTTCCACTCGAATTGGAGGGTCCGTCTGGGGCAGTAACATGCACCGAAGACCACAGTAAAATAACACTAACTTTTGGGGGTGTTGTGTTTCTGACTGAGGTTTTAGGGCTTCACGGGGTAAGGGATTGGGTCAGGAGGCAACGGAGAGAAAGATAATTTTTGTATCGCATGTGTCTATAGGAGGAGCTCGATGGCGCAACTGGTTAGCGCGTTCGGCTGCGATCGTTGAAGTTAAGAAACTTTCGCAGTGGTCGGTCATTGGATGGGTGGCCAAAAATTTAATATCTCGAGCTCCTCCGTGCTCCGGAAGGCACGTTAAGCCGTTGGTCGCGGTTGCATCTGCAGACGTTAGCACCCACCAATCCGCATTGAGCCCGCGTGGTGGGTCATGGGTCAATCTCCCTATTCCATCCATAGGGAAGGCCTGTGCCCCAGCAGTGGGGACATTAATAGGATGATGATGATGATGAGCCGTTTACTATCAGGCGGAAAGCTACGCGGGCGGATAAGCTTCTTTGCCAGTCTTTTATAACACAATGTGTTTCATAATCATTCGACATATTGCGTTACAAAAATCTAATATAACAAAGGGCGACACCTACAGACTCGAGACAAAGATAAGTAAGTAAAAAATGTACAAAGGAAAGTACATGGAATGGCATGAAAATTAAAAATGCGCATGCAAATATCTTACTTAACAACGATTATATGTTTCAACGTAATGGAAAGGTTATATTGTAGGTAGTTAGTTATTCCAGAAAAGTCAATGATTTAATATTATTGAAAATTTCAAACCCTAGGAAGTAAACTAAACATATTAATAGGTACGGTACAGTTTCCTACAACTCACATGAAAATAAATAAATATAACTTTATCCCCCTTATTATTAAAAGCGGAATATGCTTATATAATTTGTCATTCAATTAATGAGACAAAACAAAGAGTAACTAATTCGAGCTTATTCTCCGTTTATTAATAAAGGGGTAAAAGTTTAGATTAAAGAAAGAATTCACTTGCATCAAAGTTCCTAATTCAAATTTAAAAGCGAATGATGTTTAAACCCCATATTCTATCTCTATTTGACTTTCAACAATTGTCAAAGACAGCTTGACGTGTTATAGTAGGTACATTACTGCAGCGGCCAGCAAGCCGAGGCACATATACGTTCATCAATGCCTGGTTGTGGCCAAGGCTTGTATACTTTTCTCAAATAAGGCCCGGAAATTAAAACTATGTACTAACTAGGCAGAACTTTCTTCAAAATCAATGACGAACAACAACACTCATTCGAAACAGATCCTTAGATAAGTTATAGATCGCGCCAATCTTCTAGTCCGGTCTGAACACTGCACAATTCGCGTCGTAGTAACAAAAGTCAGGTATTTGAAGGGACGAAGGTTGTGTTTAGGGCTGTACACCTGCGCGAAACAACTTCAGAGCGGACTAGAAGTTTGGCGCGATCTTATACCTCTTTGGTTGCCATGTTTCGGAGTAAAAGAACATTCCATTTTTAAATTACACGACAGATATGAGTTGACTGTGTAATTTATTTGGCCGCTACACACGACAGATATAGATTTGCATACAACTTTTGCCGGTCACTGCTAGCATGCATATGGCCAGTACAGGAATTTTGATTTATCTTGAAGAAGGTTGTCGAAATATAGCTCAAATTTCCAAGCATGTTTGAGAAAAACACTATTTAGTCTTAATTTGAATTAATAATTTTGGTGCAAGTAAAGGCCTAAGTCCTTAGTCCCTCTAAGGTAAATTCTATCTTCCTTAACAGATGACGCCTTCTTTATGATTTAGGTTTTCATTTTCACTTCTGCTTATAAATAAATTATATATGGCACAAAATGGTATTTTTTTGGAATATGTCTCTCAGCTTAGTTGGAAGGGCATCAAAAGGATCACTAACTTGCTTAAAAGTTTAAATGTGTAAATAGTACTTCAACAGCTAAATGTTTTTGACACCATATTTGCCATTAGTTGAGTGAGTTTAAGGTATTGGAAAACAATAGTGACAGGATCCGAGAGTCCATTTTCTTATAACAGTTTTCGAGCGTGCCTTTTTATTGACAGGTTTTTTCTACTGGCAAAGGAAAGATAACAGCTGGCGCATCACATGATTATATTTCAATCCCTATCCATGAATACCTGCGATTGTGGTAGTTAAGCAACTTTCGCAATGATCGGTCATTGTATGGGTGACCAAAGACAAAATCATTAATTCGAACTCTCCCGTGCTTTAGAAGGTACCTATTAGTCGGGACCAGCCGTTTAGATCCCAGCTGCATCTGCAATCTTTAGCACCCACCAATTCGCATTGGGCCCGCGTGGTGGGTTATGGCCCAATCTGCCTATT